CTTTTTTAAAAAGCCCCTCTTTCCTGATCTGAGATTTGAGAGAGACAACACACGTTGCATTGGAAAGGCGACAGCTCAGAGCTCTGTGATTCTGCAGTTACTCTGCTGGGTCCCGTGTGCATCTTTGTGTTATATACAGTTAGCATCATAGACTGGGAGTCCTCCAAGGGGCCTACCCTCCCTTGGAAATCCCAAAAGCAAAATGCAGACAGAGCTGTAAAAATAGGCTTTTAGGAATGACTGAATAAAGGGGTGAGCTCGCGGTCTAGTGGATGAAGTCACAGAAGCCCATTTCCAGCTATGAAGTAACAGGAGTAGCCATTCCTTCTACAGGGCAGGCCCAGGAAGGAAGACTTGGACAGAAGGATCACGTGAGCATCAATAGATTTTTCTGAAAGAACTACTCTAGGAGAGTGCATAAAAGGGTTATTATTTCTTAATTGTCTGAGCATTAACAAGCACGGCTCCAGGAGGGAACTAGATGTTTTCAGGGACATGTGCATAGGAGAAAAGAAATGCAATGCTTAATTATGATTTCGGGGGAAGGGTCCAGGTTCTGACCCCCCAACCAGCCTGGGGGGAGGTAGTTTGCATCTCTGCCACCAAGTACTTTAATAGCCAGAGCCACTCTCCCCTTTGTTACAGAAAACCTACGTCAGTGCCGCTGGCTCAGCTGTATTCCCTTTCTCTGCTCCAACCCATGTACAGCTAAGGATAGCGTCTGGAGGCACTTCATCTGGCAAGAATCCCGAGGGCACGGGAAAAAAATATTTATAAATAAGCTTATCTAACGCTTGGTCTCAGCGGGCACTGGGTTTTTAACTCCTATCGTGTTTGACAACTTATTCTCTTTCATGCCAACCTCTGAATGCCCCTTGCCGGATGCCAGAGGCACGCGGCACTGACGGAAACCCTGCACACTGCAGAGAGGCTGCCCCACGTCACCTGGGAGATGGGCAGTAACACTGCGCTCTCCTCCTTGGCTACATATGCCTGCACACTTCCAAAAGCAGGTCTTGGGCAGGCTGCTTGTGCAGAATAACAAAGCTGCTGGGTCTAGAGGGGTTGGCAGGAGTGGAGGTCCAGAAGAACGGACCCCTAGGAGAAAAGGCTGAGGTGACCTGTTGTCTGCAGGAGTTTGGTAGATAGGAACAAGCAGGGAACTCAGAGGGGGAGTGATGAGAGCGCACGGGTCCCACCCCAGCCGGGGAGAGACAAGGGTGCTCTCGCTTTGCTGTTAGCAGAGGGGGAAAGCCACGCATCACCCCCTCCTCCATCTGAAATGTTACTCCCCATCTTATAAACCAGGGTATCCTGTATTGGATCATAATTGCAGCAGTGAGACTCTTTCTCCCCTAGCTGGATTGCAGTCGGAAATGGAGGACTGCAGGAAGCTGGCTGATTCCTTCCCTGGCGTCACACCCCTGCAATCAATGGAGGGTCACTGGGCATGATTTTATGCCGAGTATGTAAGAGCTGGTGATTTCTTGGCGGTTTCTTGAGGACGGTCATCATGCTTTTCCTCCTGGATCTAGCCAGACTCCATCTAAGGCAGCAGGGCTCTCTGCACGCTCACAGCCAACTGCAGCAAAGTCATGTCTGTCTTGGAGCGGTGCGGGGGGAGTGACCTAGTTTCCTGCTATCTCCATCTGCTGCAATGAGCTGATTAACAGCGTTTTGGAAGGAAGAAGCCCAGGAGCGCGGTGCGTGGCTCTCTGGATGCCACCTCCTTCACGGCCTCAATTCCACAAGGCATGGGACACGTGCCTAGGGTGGCACAGCAGCCAGAGGGAGCGCTCACATGCTGGGCGGTACGTGTGTCCCGTTGTGCCTGCCCAGACAGGGACTGCAGAAAACTCACGTGGGTGGAAACTTGCCAAGAAGCAAGAGCAAGACTGTATTTATAACAAGCTACCTGGTTATTTTTCAGATGCTTTTAGCCTCCTGTGCGTGGAAGTCTGGGAAATGGTACCATTGGTGTTGATGGACATCCCCTCCTAACCTATATTCATGTCACTGGTTATTTCTCCCCAGATGAAGCACTCTGCATTTATCATTAATATATGGGGAAACATGTTGGCCAGCTCTTCAGCGGTTGCTGCAGAGAAGCCAGAGATGGAGCGAACCATGGGAATTCGTTTCTTCCTCACCCTTGCTTGGAAGATGCCGAGGCATCCTGTGCAGAAACCGGTTCTGCTCCCTGCACCCCACCCTTCTGTGTGGACAAACCGGAGATCTTGGTCCTTAGGGCAGTTGAATATAATAGCCTCATCCATATCCCCGTCATCCTATCCCCTCCCTTTTTTAGAAGGAGCCCAAAGCTAGGAAAGACTTTGGGAGGAAAAATGCTTAGAGTCGAAGAGCCAGGCAGAGGTGAGAAGACATTTAGGCATCAAGGTGGTGGGATCTTTTACAATATCTTGCCTAAATATATAAGATCAGGGGACTGACAAGCTCAAACACATGTCTGAGACAGAGAGATGCAAGGGGATTTGAAGGAAGCAGACAGCAACAAGGAAATGGTGAGGGCGAGCACAGAACAAGCCTAGGAAAGAACATCCTGAAACTAGGAAGGAAATCCAGCTCCTTCCAGCAGTTTCAGCTGAGGCTCTGTTCAAAGTCAGAGCTTTTTATTTAATATACAAGGCAACAAAACCTGAAGATGTTACCATGGAAACGATGCAGTTAATGGTAGCAGGAGCCGGGACATCTGGTTTTATCATCCAACTGCTCTTCCAGCCAAGCTGGCTCTTTCCTGGGAGCGGGGGAGCGGGTCGTGACTTTGGGGGCCCCCTTTATGACTCGTCCTTAGATACGTCACGTGGCCGTAATCTGTGTGAAACCATTTGTGCTGGAGGGATCGCCGTGCGGTGAAATCCAGCGACTGGGAGATTCATTCCTGCGACGGGATCTGCTCAGGAGATCACAGAGGTCTCCCCATGATGTGTGTGATCCCACTATGATGGCAGTGAATCAAGAGGAAAGGGAATAGGGCAGTTGAGGGATCAGATAGTTAAAGCCATGTCAGTAACGAGGGAGTTAATTGCAGTGTCCTTTGTTCCTGGGCCTTAGCAGGGATGCCAAAGAAACCAGTAAATTCTTTGTGAGAAACACAAGGCTTCCCTTGATATTTGCAGCAGCCACTGAACAGCTAGTGACCCTGCTGGGGCTGGTGGAACATAATAGCTTGCGTTTGGGTAGTACATTTTATCCCAGAGGATCTCCGCAAACCGAGTAAACTCCAGCTTGGCTTCTTAGGGCAAAACTTCCCGGTACATGATTCATGCACATGCATGCGGGTGAATATAAGGACGTGTATGCAGGGTTTCACATACATGCATTCAGTGTCTCCTCCTCCGGTGGAAGAAGCAGCTGTTTAACCACGCTCAGTCGCACAATAGTGTAGGCTGAGAAGTGAGAACTGAGACAGCAGTCAGCTGAAATGGGAAGAGATGGTGCCTGCCTAGGCAGGGACCTGTGCCAGGACACCTTCTTTGCCCTGAATGGCACATACCCGCAATGAGCCCAAGCTTCATGCTGGAGAGCTGGTTATTCATTGACTCAAAGGGAAGGGGGTGGTAACTAGTGAAGGCCCCGACAGACAGACATGTACATTGGCTGTGTGTATCAGTGTGAATTGTACTGGGATTGGGAATGGACAGATGTGCGGCGAGAGCGGGGTTCCTACATGAGGTAGCAGTTGCAGTGCCTTGTTTGTAGGTGGCAGGGGAACAGCCGCTTTGCAGTGGAAGCAGACGGACAAATCTTGAACCAGTGTCACCGACGCCGGGGAGTTTTCAAGTTGATTCTCTGATGATTCTCTTTTTTTTTAGTGAATTCAGTAAAGATATCGTAGTTTAGGGTTTATCTGCTACCGTTTTAGGACCTTACACCTTTCCATGCCCTGAATTACCCATGGGGCTTCCTAGAGAATCCTGCTCTGCGTTTAATTCTTGGTGGAGAGATTTGTCGGGGCGTGTCTACACGTGCGCATTTAATGCACATTAGCTCAATTTAAGGTGCATTAAGGGCCCTTAATGCGCCCTTCATGCACCTTAAAAATGGCAATTTAAGGCTATTCAAGCTTAAATTTGATACCTGCATAAAGCAGGTATTAAATTTACGCGCGAATAAATCGCATTAGCAAACGTGTAGACGTGATAATATGCACTAACGCGTTGTGTGTCCATTGACTTGGGACTAACTGTAGTACCAAGTCAGTCCGCATGCCTGCGTTAATGCACATCGTGCATGTGTAGATGTTCACCTAAATCATCTTAATGTGCATTAGGCTAATGCGGATTAAGTTTAGGCAGGTGTAAAAGGGGCTGACCAAACTAAAACCAGCGCAGTAAAAAGGAGTCTGACTCTCTCCTTTCCTTCCAGAATACTGAGTGCCTGTCAGGTGCCCGATGACTTCCACGCACGCTTCTCTGCCTTGTCAAGAACCTATATTTATCGGCTAGTGATGGGCTGCTCTTACAACTTCCAAATACCCGTGTTTGAGAGAGATCTGTGTTGGGCTCCCAGAGGAGAGTAAGTATAAACTTCCTGGGAAAACACACGTTCTTTGACTGAATGGACGTTCTTCTGTTTGAATGGGATTTTGTTAAAATTTGGTAAGGTTCCAGGTGTGAGACCAGATCCCCAGCTGGTGTGTGTTTGCATTTCAGTGCTGAGGCCAGTGAAACCCTGCTGATCTACACCGGTGAGGATCTAGCTCTGCATCCCTCTTTCAACAGGATCTGAGTTCACTTCAACGATGGGCTTAACTTACTAATAACCAACAGCAGTGACTCAGTTCAAAAGCTGAGACCCTGTGACCAATGTTCTCAGCAGCGCTCACGCACAGAAAACCGCAGTGCAGCTCGCCAGAATAACTTTTTGCATCCTCCGTAAAAAGTGAGAGTCATCTAAATGGGCGTTTTCATTGATCCACACAGTGAATGAAATATGATAGTCAGTCAAGGCACAGTGATCCCACAAGAGAGGTGGGGTACCGAAAAAAGAAGATTGTCAAGGTTCAAGCCTCCAGTTCTTTTTTAAAATTTTTTTTTTGTTTTTACCTCTGAAGATCACTGCAGATCTTTTCCCTGGTTACATTATATTGTGCTGGGTACTGGAATAATGATGAGTGAATGGCACAAGCCAGCAACTGGAGCACTAGATGCAGCCCAGTCCTTTTATGCTACCCTACAATAACAGAGCAGTGGGTATAGTGCTAGCCAACAGGCCCAGGGTAGTGAAGAAGTTATTGCAACTTAGTGCTGCTTGGGAGCACTTCCTAACTTAGTGCCCCTTAATAATGTAGCAGCGAATGTGCCGTAGGGGATAAAAATGGTATTGAAAGAACAAGATGCCAGGCTCTAACTTTTAAGGCATTAGCAACAGCGAATTAAGCAAACATTGATGAAGAGAGCCTGACATTATCTTTTTTTAACCAGGATACACTGAAATAATTATACATTCAAGACAACTGGAGATTTTTCATGACGTCAGAGTAAAGTTGTTTTATAGTTTCTGAGCCAATTACAATAGTTTGGCCACCACTAATGGAATAACTTCACATTTTTTTCATTACCAGCAACAATCCCAGCAGTCCCAGCAGAGGAATGAAGATAACATTGTCCCTGCGTTAAATATGTGGGTTTCTTTTCTGTGGGCTGCGAAGGGGAAAAATCTACTTGAAATTGTTAAATTATACGTTGCGTGCATCATACACCCTAATCTCGGGTTTTACGAAATGCCATTTAATTTAGCCCAGATGCTGTAGTTAATTTTCTTAAATGGCAACACCGCACAATGGGTAGGGACAGCATGTAACAAACTCTGAGTGGGAGGCAAATTACTAACAGGACAAATCCTTACTCCAAAAGAAAGCAGGGAGAAATTCCCACTGGCTGCACGAAGAAACTGAATTAGCCCATAAAACCCCCATGGTCCATAAGCGTATTTTACGGAGGTGATTAGGTTAAATTCCCTTAACCCGACTCCCATCCCTTTACCACCAGTAACAATGTTAAGAGCTGTTTGGGACTCGTTTTAACTGCAGGAAATTTTAATGAAAAAGGTCTTTGTTGAAATGTGTCAGAAAGTGTTTGGATTTTTGTTGGAAAACTAAAACATTTCCACCCAAATCAAAAAGCGTACCGCTTTTTCAACGAAAAATAATAAAAAAGATTGAAAACAGACACGTTCTGTGATAACTTCCATTGGGGTAAAATAACCTCCCCCCAAACCCTTTTAATAAAACAACTGAGATGTTTTCTGAGCTCTTGGGAGTTGAAGGGTGATTGGAAGACTTTGTTTGGCTTTCTGCTCTTCATGCTATTTGTTCAGGAAGGATCTGCCTAGGATGCTGCTTGGACAGTTTTAATGGGAGTACCTGGATACAGAAGTCATCAAAACCCTTGGATAGATACTCCCATCTGCCAGGTTACAGGCTGTTAGATGGGGGCAGAATTCACATCTGGATCTAGACTCTGGACATCCCTGGGCATCAAGGCCGTCCCGCACTTCAGTGTTTGGTTTGGGCCGTTACAGGATAACCAAACTCTTTCCTAGAAAAATCCTGGTCTGTTTGAGCCTGAGACATGGGTTCAGATTCATTTTCCAACTGAATTGAACTTTGACCCCAGTGACAGTGTTGATCAAAACCTCCCCTGGCCACAGGCCTGCCTCCCGCCTCCTTCTTCCGGTCCTTATACCTGTGTCTTTGTGTTATTTCAGCCACTTGAATGTGCCAGCCATGCAGGAAGCTGTGCAGTTCCTGCTGGGCACCCACGATTTCAGCACTTTCCGCTCCATCTGTGCCGACACGCCTTACAAGTCCCCAATTAAAACCCTCATTCACGCAGACATCAGACCCTTTTCCAGCTTCCTGTCGTACCACTACATACACAGGTAAGACTCCAGAGAGCTTCTTTGATCGTTCACGTTGAATCAAGACCCTGGCCCTGCCAGGAGACACATTTTTCTGCTCCTTCCTTGGCTTTGCCCAAAGGCTGCACATACAGACCCCACCCAGTGGCAAAGCCCTACTTTGGCTGACTCTGCCATTCACGCTGGCCTAGGTTGTTACTGGTGACTTCCCCATGGAGCCGTGTGATTGTGGGTTGAGGATTGGGGAGCCCAGAAGTCTTTTGATTGCCGTGAAACAGAAAATGTTTCAATCCTCAGTGGCCCTCAGGGCCTGCGCTGAGATGAAGGGGGTAGATCAATGGTGCCTCGACTGCAGCTGCCAAGCCACGTGTGTCTTCTACATGTCATTTTTGGCTTTGTGCGGAAAATGCTCTCAAAGGCTTTGGTTTGCTGCGTGCCTTGGATTTGTCCTTCTTGCACTCGGTAAACACCAAAGAGGCTTACTGCTTTTGAAATCTTATCCCCTGCTGGACGATGCATGGGTTAAACTGCAGTTCTTGTGTCCTTTGAACTGGGGTGTGTTTGCCACAATTTGCCTGGACAAGTTTGCGTTTCTGTGGCCCTTTGACTAACACTGAGTCAGGCAGGACTGAGAGTCCCTGGGCTGGATCCACCCTCTGTTTAGCTCAACATCCAGGCTGCTGCATTGAAAAGGGTGGGAATCTTCCTGGAAGGGCACTGAAAATGCTGTAAGGAGGCCCCAAACTCTTCCATGCCGCATATGGGGCTTTTGTGGTCCTGGAATTGCAGTGCACAGCACTGCCCAGTGGATGCCAGCTTAGCCTTTTGCTACTGCTTGGCTCTTGCAAAGTGTGGGTACAACCTAAACACCCTTCCCCTTGGGAGAGTGGGATCCTCCTCAGCAGAGGAAGGTGCTTTCTTTCACCCTTATTGGTTTGCCTTTCAAAAGTAAACTGTGCTATTTTCTGTTTCTAAGCCACATTTTCCTGGTTTCAGAGGAGGAGGAAGCCCCCAGCTTTGTAGCTTTGCAGAGTGACCCTCCATAGATTCCACTACCCTCCGAGCCGTCGGTACCAATAAGTACCATCCTCTGAGCACTGCTGACTACTCACTGCTGCTTGCAAATAGCCCGCTGTTGTCTCTCGCTCTCTGCCTCGGTAACATACTTTGCCAGTGGCATCAGAGAAAGAACTAAGGACGCTTGCAAGCAGCATCTGAGTGCATGCTCGGCAGCTTTTTCCCACCCCCTTATTTGCATTGCAGGCTGGGGGGGGAATGGCCTGCTGTTTCATTCATCATATGATTTACCAGGTTTGCTGATGAGTCAGACCCCTGGGATGGTCAGCTGTGTGTTCGACTCCAGACAGCAGAATGCATGGGGGTTTCACATCCCTCATCCTCTGCTTTTAAGGAGGGAAGCCTCAAACCACCTTGAAAAGTTTTCTGGTGCAAGTTGGTTTGCCTCCGTTTTCATAGGGTGCAAGATAAGTAAGACTAGCTGTTGCCTGGGTCAGGTAGGTTAACTCGAGTAGGATTGGGCTTGCTCCGACCAAGTGGGGGTGAAGAGGGTGTTTCAGGCAGTGGGGTTGGTGTGCAGTTGGCACCACTCTTCCCTTTGAACTGCCCCCAGTCCTATATGAGGGTCACTCAACTGCTGGCCATGCCGTGTAGTAAAGCTGTCGTCCTCAGCAAATTGTGCCCATTAAACATTCCCATGCTGGGGTTGTAGCCCATATCGTCCTGAACTGATTCCTATCTGGATCGTTCAGTTCTGCCTCCCTTGCTCCCCAGCCCTGGAGGGTTTCCATCAGGTACAAAATTCTTCCTTAGATTCTCTCCTACGCTGTTATGTGGCATTGTTGTAAGCTGTCAAACAGCTTGTGTTCCACCCAAGAGGCAGCTGCATTTTATCCCGAGGAGTGTAAGCTGGTCCCTTGTACTTGTAAAGTGTTCTGGATTAGGGCACAGACCTGTGGGAGGGCATTACTTAAAAAAAACCCTATAGATATAGCTCTCTGGTTTGAGGAACAGGTCATTGGTTGGGGTCACCTGGCTTATAGGATAAAAGGGATAGATGGGGCTGGCATGCATGCCCAGAAGAAAGCTGTCTTGCGGGTCATGTTTTAAATGAAGAGAAATGGCAGGCTGTGTTGGCTAGGCACCACAAAGCAATCAGGGTTTATAGAGCCGAGCCACTGAAGGGAATCCACGTGCACGGGCACAGACAGACCCATTCTCTCGGCACGGCAGTCGATTTCCTCTGCCTCGTCTTAACCTTGGCCAGCACGCTCCGCTGGGCAGCTGAATAAGCTGCCTTTCCAAGGTGCTCGTGGAGATAGACACCAAGAGAGACCTGGGCTCCATCAGGCTGCAGCATTACTGCCACGTCTCACTCGCCCTGGCAGGACATGACGTGTACGCTCAGGAACAGCACCACAGGGTAAAACACCCAGGTCTCTGAGATCCTCACCGCGAAACCACATGTCTTAGAGCAGGGACAGGCAATTATTTCGGCTGGAGGGCCACTTAATGAATTTTAGTGAACTGCCAAGGGCCTCACACATAAAATCTTTCAGAAGATCATCATTTTAACAAATTATAGGTTTAAAAAAATCATATACAAAAAAGTCAAATATCTACTGTAACGTATTTTAACGTTATCTCAAAAAATAATTTTTGTCCTGATTTGTTTTTTTGAGTAGTGTATATAGAGGTGATTGCATAACAGCTCAAAGTAGAGTCTTATCCTTGTATATTGTGTGTGTGTGTGGGAGGGTTGGTGTGTTTGTGGGGCCGCTAGGTCCCAGGAGCCAGCCGCGGATGGGGGAAGAGGAGAGGGGCCACATGCAGCAGAGGTCACCTGGGCGGTGCAGGTGCAGGTGAGGTCCATGCACCCCTACATCTGGCCTGCGGCTGCCCCCGCAGCACTCCACGTGGGGCCGAGCTCTGCCTGCTGCTGGCCGGGGCAGCCCACACTGCGCTCCCGCCTGTGCCTGCTGGCCCTGGCCAGTGTGCACAGCTTCCCAGCGGGGCTGCAGCCACCTGGCTACTGCTTGGCTCCCCACACCTCCAGTGCTTCCTCGCCTCCTCCTCCTGTCCCTGCTGTGCCACCCTAGGCAGGGGCGAAGCTGCAGCCGGGTGGTTTCTCCTGCCCCAGCGCACGGGGCTCCAGCTCTGTGGGTGGAAGGTGGCCGAGAGCTTGAGCTGGAGCCCCGCACGCTGGGGCACGAGCTGTTTGGCTGCAGCTTGTCCCCCGCCTCCCCCCACCTAGCTGGGCATCTGCTGCCCATCACTTGCTCCCACAGCTTCCCCGTGCTGCCTGCTGCCCAGAGCGGAGAAGCAGGGGCAGGAGGAGCCACTGGAGGCTGGGGGAGCTGAGCACTAGGTGAGTGGCTGCAGCAGAACTGGGAGCACTCCCGCTGGGAAGCTGCGCGCACTGGCAGGGCTGGGGCCGGGCCAGGCGGGAGCACAGTGCGAGCTGCCCCAGGCAGGAGTGGGTAGGGCTCAGCCCCATGCAGAGCGCTGCGGGTCAGATACAGTCAGTTGGCAGGCATTTACCCATGGGCCAGATCCAATCAGCTGGAGGCTAGATTCGACCCACCGGCCATATTTTGCCCACCCTTGCCTGCACCACATGCTGTGTTGTAAAAGTAACCAGGCTAGCAGGTAACTTGGGGAACTGGGAGCTGCCTTACCCCGGTGGTATGGAGCTCTGCATGAGCAAATGCACTCTGCAAGTCTGCTTCTCTCGTCTCCGATCTGTGAACCTGTGGGTTTCTAATGTGGGTCAGCTTTTTTTCTCTGGGTGTGTGCGTGCACTTGCTTTTAATCTAGCCCTGCTGATTTCAATTTGAAAAGGGACTTGGCAGTTTCTAGTATATCTTGCTACAATCCGTCCCATGCTTTGCCAAAATAGTTTGAGCGAACCTAAAAGCTGGAGCAGAAACATCAAGCTCGTGGCTGGAGGGATACTTCTGCCATATCCTGTTGACACAGAGTCAAGCTTGTGTTATTTGATGAGTCACTTTCACAATGCTGCACTGTTAATTTATTTAATGAGCATTTAGGCTCTGTTGAAAAGAAGCTGATTTCATTGGGATTTAGGTGTTTAATTCCCTTAGACTCCTTTGAAGAGCTCAGAGTTAATGATCCGTCTTAATATTGTTTTTTTGCTTTAGGGAAGAGACACAATTCTGCATGTGGCAAGGGAGGGCTGGTTTTGGTACTGGTGAAAGTTAATCTGTAAACGGTTCCTAGGGGGACAGCTGGAGAAGCAAAACTCGGTACTCACCATTTCCAAACGTTGAGCTGTGTCCATAAATGAGAGCGCAGCTGGGTGCATTTCTTTATCGATGTATCACTGTGACATGAACTTGCACAGAGAGGCCCGGGCGTCCGTTTACAGTGTATAAAGAGATTTTCAGACTAATCTAAGATTTATTTTATTTTCGAAGGATGGAATACAGAGAATATAAACCATCATCTCCCAGTCAAATAATGCAGCTTTTCTTTCTATTTGTTCCTTCGCTTCCAAACTAAAACCAAGCCTCTGAATTGACCACTTGTCTGTCTCAAAGGGCAACTGTTGGAACGGTTCCTTCCATCAAACTCTGCATCGCCTGGCAACAGTGGAAGTAAAGTTAATGCTTTGTCTGTACGAAACCCTCCTGAATGCAAAGCCATGTTGGAGATTTCATCCCATCACTTATTCCTTGGGAGTAACCGTTCCATCACCTGTTTGTCGATGAATATGCATTATTCATTGCAAGGTGCTGGGTGCTGCCAAGTGAAAAGGCAGCCCAGAGTATTGCTGACAAGCAGAATCATGGGTGGTATCAGCAAGAAAAAGAAAGTTCTCCTTGATGGAAAAAAAAAAGGAAAAAGCTAGAGAATTTAATGGAGAAGCAGATTCTTCCTCTAGGTCAGTGATTCTCGATCAGGGCACTGCGACATCCTGGGTGCCTTGAGATCTGTGGGGTGCCATGTAGTGTTAGTACGGTTAGGTGTGCAAACTTGATTCA